AGCGCCACTAACCAACTTCATCATCACTCCACTGCTTACAGGAATGGCAAGCTCCCCCAGCCTGGTCATCGCTCCACCCTCCACTGATAATCCATCCTGTTGAAAACAAACAAAACGACAACACACACATACAGTGATTGTGTATGTATGGATTTGCACATTAAATTACCTGTTCAACAGCTGGAACTTGAGACTTACAGTACATTATATAGGTATAAGTCTTGCTTTAGACTTCTCTATCACCTCCTAAAAGAGAGAAAGATAAAATTGATAATGTAAAATTAAATGTAAAAAATTAAATGTCATCCAAAAAATATATTCTGAGCTATTCTGCTTTCAGGTGTAAACATTCCTTTACACACAAGTGACTGTTAGATTAAAGTTCAATGTGTCACAAAAGCCGCAGTGTGCATGTGCTTCTTTCAGCTAAATGACAAGAGTATCATTTTTCACTTTTATTTAAGTCACAGGGAGCCTTAAACATGAGGAGTTATGTTGGGCAGCTGAAATGATTCACTGTATTCTAAATAACAACTATTAAAAACACGACTTCAGTTTTCCTTGGTCAAAAGTCAGTATCCAATAGTTTCACAGCCTCTTCAATTAAAAAATATATGAAGTAATTATCTATCTCAGGGGTTTTCAAGTCTAAGACAGTGGGCCTCCCTTTTGACACAACTTACCCAATGGAGGATAGATTATATCTGCAGTTATACTTTCTTTTTACTGGGATCATTCACATCTTGTTAAGCTAGCTGCTATTCCATGCAATCAGATGCACTAATATGGTCGCAAACTAAGTGTTGCTAACTTAAACAACAAATTTAATACATAAGATAAACGTTGTATGCCAACGAACTTGAAGAAAATCTGAGGTAAATGTAGCCCAACTGACATCAGGTTACGGTAAGTTAGCTAACGTTAGTGAAGTGTTGGTCACGTAAGCTATAGCTCCAATCAAGGGCGTAACTTTGGTTTGAGAAGTGGGGGGGACACAAAATGGGGGAAAATGTTTTCGATTTGAATCCCATTTCCTGGATGTACATACATTTAGGGACTATGCTGATACAAAAACCAGGAAATAATTTGATTATAATGATAAATTCTGCCAAAAAGAATAGTAGCCTAGGCTATATGTATAAGAAAAATATGTCTTACTTTCTTTATTGTTTATAGGGACCGATCGCCAAGACTTTAGAGAATCATTTTATAATGTCAAAATGTTAGCCATTAATGTTTTGTGTGTAATTAAAAATGTAAATAATGTGAGCCTCAATTTCCACTGTAATGTAGAAACAACATAAAGACAGTATAACCCCCCCCCCCCCCCCCCCCCCCCCAATTATTTTTAAAACATTTATTAGGCTTAAAAAAATATATAACAACTTATAATTTAAGTGAACTTAAAACAAATCTTACATAAACCCATAATAAACGTCATATTTACCTGTGCCAGGTATGAAATATACAGAAATTGAATAAGGTTATCAAACAGTCCGCACTGCATAAATATAAATTAAATATAGATTAATCCTTATTAAATCTACAAGCATTATTTAGTCAAGAGCAGTTAGAATTTTTTTCTGTTCCCTTTGTTCTTTGGTTAACTTTACTGACAGAGAGAATTTGTGACTGCTGTCACTTTAAGATCTGCCGCTGCTGACAGGATCTCATCCATCTCATTATCTCACTACTCTTTACTTTCATTTAAGATTTTATTTAACTCATTTAAGACTGTTCTTGTGAGGATACTCTACAAAACGGACATTTTGGCATACATGTGTGTTTTTGTTCGTTCAAGCGGCGAAATAGAACTCAATACCAGTGCGCGTCTTTCTGTGCGTCTTTATGCGTGTGTATCAGGAGGACATTCACTGGCAGCGCGTTCTCTTTTGTTTTGTCGCGCATAAATGAATAAACGTGAATAAGAATAAGAACAGGATCATATGACGCTAGCTTAAGTCACCTGTTGTTGTTTCTGGCGTTTCATCGCTGACTGTGCCGCAACAGCGGAGCGGAGGAGCAGGACCAAGCCTGTCGAAGCGCGCGTCCACGTCCAGGAACGTCGCGTGCACACTCTAAAAATAGCTCACTGAAAGTTCTAATGAGCAGGTATCGCGTTTGCGGCACAGTCGGCAATGAAACGACAGAAACAACAGGTGACTTAATTAATTTTAGTTAAAAAATCATAACAAAACGAATTTGAAAGTGGGGGGGACACATACAGGATTTTGAAAAGTGGGGGCACGCGTTACTTCCGCATTCCAAAGTTCCTATGGCGGTCTATGGGAGTGTCGCAAGTTCTCGCAACTCTGTTTTTCAACGGCTCTGGGTGAGTGTATGGCCCAGTCCCAATTCTCACTTGAGCCCTAAGGCCTTCCTGGAAGTGGACACTTGTTGAAAGTGCACTTAGCGGAGTAAGTGCGCAAGGGCCCAAAGCTGTGAAGAGCAGAATTGGGACAGTTTTGCACACGTCACTTCTGTTGTGATCAGGAGAGCAAACACCATTCATTTGGCTAACGTGTGTGCTGCTTATAATAGCTGTAACATGACACAATCCTTTGAATGAAAAAAATAATATATTTTTTTACTCTTAGCTACCAACCTTTCTGTTAATGTTATTAATATTAAAACAGTTTTTGGCTAAGATAAATTGTGATTGGGGTTTACCTGAGCTTATACTGCCTTACCGTATTCACAGCGATTCGAAATGCAATTTTAATTATGTTATTATGGAAATTGATATATGAAATTCTTCCCATCCCATACATGAAAAAATACATGACGTGTTGGTGATATATTATATATAGGCTAAGGCTATATATTAAAAGTCTTACATAGGCTATATGAAATAAAATGACACAACCCTGTCTCTTTTTGTTAAATTTCAGTTTTATTGATCAATAATAGCCATTATTAAATTATAAGTAGCCAAAAAAGTATAAGAAGCTATATAAGTCAAGAAATAAAGCAAGTTAAAAGATTCAGTCAAACATAAGTCAACAGGCTAACGTTACAGTTAAATAGCATAAATATATAAAGTTATGAAACTTCACTTTGCCCTCAGCCAAAACGATTTGCCAGGGAACAAATCATAGATTAATGAGACCAAAGATCGCCTGTTAGATATACACAAGCCGATTTATAGCTCATGTTTAACCACTAGACACAGAGCCCGCGTGAAACGTCAGAATGACTAGCCGAGGTAAGGCTGTTCCAGGCGGGGTAAGTTACATGAGCGCTGTGCGCCCGCTGATCCATGGAACTCCGAAAAAGTCCGATCAAAATTTTAAATAGGCGCTATCTTTATAAACAAACCACAGATTTGAGCTTTAAACAACTATATTCTCGACTGAAAAACTCTTAAAACTACATTTCGTGACACGATAACACTAATAGAGGGGTTTCACCAACGTCACGTTCTGGGCGGTAACCCGGATGCGCGGCCATTATGGAGGCACTCGGATGTAAACAACAGCATGGATTGCACTGTTTATGTACTACTGAACACATTGTTACACTAATAAACCACGGAAAAAACACGTGGTAGGTGCGAAATCATATAGAGAAGGACTTGGGAAGCAGGAGAGAGCGCAACATTTTGACAAACTAAAGTTAATATGTGGTAAAGATCCGAACGAGTTAGCTTCTCTAGCACGTAACATTACTGCAATTCTTCCATCTATTTATTATCCCGACATAGGATACGTTCAGATTGTCAGTCCAAAAAAGCACATGAAATCCGTTTCAAGTTACATCCATATGTGGTTTGAAATCCTATTCAAATCACATATCAGGACATCAGCCTCAGTCTGAACGATCGGATTTCGCGTGGTATGTCTTAAAATGCAAACGTCATTTATAGGAAACATGCTGAAAGTCACTGCCGAAACAATGCTGTGTTGTTGCAAATTGCCGGACGAGCAGAAAAGTAACGTTATTATTTCTGAAACCGGCGCAGACGAGCGTGGGGAAAAAGCAGTAGGCTACATACCAGCCTCCAGTAGTCCAGCGCGCCAGTAGCTGATGCTGTACCTCTCTCAACCACAAACGCCTTCTTTCATCAGTTTTTGCACTCTTCTCTTTAACTTTTGACAGTCTATAGCACTCAACATGTTTTTTCCCGATGTGACTGATTGGTACAGACCAAAACTCGACCATTTTTTAGCAGCAATACTCACCCAAATTTGCGAGTCCATTCAGTTCAGTGGCATTATTTACGTTCTGTGCCTCCAAAATGGCCGATTTCCGGATTGATGACGCGTCGTGAAACCCCTCTATATTTTTAAATTTCGCGGCCTTGAAAAACACTTCACCATACCGGCTTCCTTTATCTTCGGAGTTTCCGCTCCCGAACAGCACCATAGCAACCATTCTCCCCCATTGGTTAGCTGTTCGAAACGTCACAACACTACAAGGATTCTGGGTAATATCCCACAGCAAAGTGAGGTCTGATGCGCACTTGCGAAAGGGGTGCATTTAGTGCCCTTATGATCACCCCTGGAGAACACTATTAGAGGATCGGGACACCCTACGGTCTTGCACCCCTTAGCGAGAACGCGCATTGAGGGGCACAAGGGCGCAAGTGCGGGTATTGGGACAGGGCCTATATAGCCTACTGAGGGGAAACTCTTGTTTTATTTAGAAAAAAAATAAAAAAAATTGGATCAACTTCTTATATTAAAACATATTTTGTCTGTGATAACGTGATAAACATAATAATGGAGGGGGGAGGGTTCCTGCCGCTAGTTGCGTTGCAATGCACCTTGGAAAGACCTGCCTACCAGGATTAGACATTGCGCTATTTTAAGGGCTCTTGTCACTGGTTGTCACTCCTCCTATTCAACGCGCTGCTGGGCTTGGCTTTGGCTCTCACTCACTCGATCGACACAAATAAACACAAGGAAAACGCCTTGAAACCGGGTTGAAAAGTTTCACAGTCCGTCTCGTCATTGGCGTTTCTGTATTCTTACATTCGTTTGGAAGTTACCGAGTATAGGCTGTATTTTTTTTTTTTCTCGAGCCGTCAGAAACACGGACACGCGACGCTTGTGAAACTTTTGCGTGCGCAACGACACTGGAAGACGAAATGGGGGAGAATGAGGTACAGATGGAGAATACAGAGCAAATGCAGGAGTCTCACGCTTCAAGCTCAGACAAAATCGACTTGTCATTAGGTTAGTAATTGCGAGGCGAGACATTGTGATTTGGATGAGTTGGCTCAGCTGCAGGATCCGTCGGTTTCACTTCTGTGTGTGTGTTGTAGAGGAACAGTGGTCAGCTGTCACATACATTCAACAGCTGTCAAACCAACGTGCTCGTGCTCAAATCATTTGCCTTGACTTCAGCATTATAGTAAATGACTGTAATGATATGTGAATGACTAAAAATAAGTAGCCTAACATTTAAAGTAGGCTGTAAATGTCCAGCCACAGTAAATGACTAGCACAGACAGTAGCGCCAGTCAGTCAACCATTTTAATACAGACCCTTGTTTACTCAACAAACCTGAAGAGCTGATACTTTTAAATATTTTGTCGTTTTATTTGGTTAGGTAAAACCAGCGTCCTAGACTATTTTCTATTCAAGGGCTCTAGGTAAAACCAAATTCAGTTCTCAATTTATAATACACTGATACCGAGGCAAAACATATCTGCAAAACACCAAGGCACCTAATAGTGTATTATCATTAGTAGAAAGTAGTTGCTGTGCTGTTAGAAGATTTATCATTCATATCTGCCATAGTGAAATTCACCCACTCATGAGATAATCAAGTAAATAAAAACATAAGGTGCCTATATTGCATGCTGCATTTACCTAATTATTTTCCTATTTAGCTCAAACAAGAATTATTTCCAAATGATATCTAATTTTATCTAATCATTCATCTTTAAGTTGAATATCTTTGCTTTTTTAGTAAACCAGAGGCGAAACACTTTGTTCCTTTTTTTTTCACAGATGACATTATAAGGCTGAATAAGAAAGAGCAGAAGGCGAACAGAGCTAAAAGTAAACGTGCTTCTAACAGGAGCAACGTCTTGAAGAAACTCAACCAGGTTCCACAGCAGCAGCAGAGGGAACTCAGGCGAGGAGAGCAGCAGTACCAAGGCAAGCATTTGATACTTGACTGTCTTACACTTCAATTAGTGACAGCTGACACATTTGGACAATTGGCATGACTTCTGCCTGGCCAGATCTGTAAAAAATGCTTCAAATGAACTGTATAAACGCTTGTTTAACTGGTTTCTAATATAGGTTTGTCCCACAGGTCCTGGCGGGTTGAGAGGTTTGAGGAGACAAAGGGGATCCGGGAGGGGAATGGTGTCGAGAGGGGGTTCACTAAACAGAGCCGCTGCCGCTACCACGGTATGAACGGTCTTATTGTTTCTATGGCTAAAATAGAGTTAAGTAATTGAAACCAGTGGTTGAATAACCCTGTGTTCTATCTTGATAAGATTTATTTCAATGATTATTACTGTGATTACTCTCTCTGTGCCATAGATCGATGGACAGTTTAATCAGACCACATTCACATCGAGGGGGACATTCAGAGGACGAGGAAGAGGTAGAGGAAGAGGAGCCAGACTGAGCAGGTTCTACACTCTCTTCTCTGTTTCAACTTTATCATCTTAAAGGCACAATATGTAAGATTTTTGGATTAAAATATCCAAAAACCACTAGAACAATGTTATATATTTTGTTGACTTGTGTACTTACATTATCCCAAATGTTTCCTACAATGTTTAAATCCAGAGAATGGCCTGTGTCATTGTGTAGCCTGTCAATAACGTTATATCCACGTTAACCTCGATTTCCGGTTACTTTCATAGAAAACGTAAGAACACCAAAGAAGCTTTAAAGCTGTAGTCCGTAGCTTTTGTGGGTTAAAAATTATCCAAAATAATTTTTTGAGCAAGTACATATCCAAAACTATCGTTAGTGAAGTACATATCCAACTATAGCAAGTACATATCCAAAACACAATAGTGCCTTAGCTTGATTCAAATCGGTAAACTTGTAATAATGTTTTTAATTCCAGTGGTACTGGTGGATTTCCGCGGGAAATTCGAGCATGTCTTTGCGTCATTACGTCACATCTGTACACATAAAGAAGGAGTCTCGGCTAGTATAAGCTATATTGCGTGTGATGATGTTGGAGGTGGAGCTTTGTAGCCTTTTCTCACAGCACTTGATATAATTAAACTTATCAATTTGATGGCGGATCCAGAAAGGTTCAAACGACAATCGCAGTGACAGCTGGAGATTCCCCGTTGTAATATGCAAAAGACTTTGGACTGTGAGTTTGGAAAAAGAGACTGCAACCGGACCCATGCGAAAACAAGGATAAATATAGCTGCGAGCAGCGATTACGGGCCCAAGCCGGTGGCACCGCAACCCCGGTGCCTTTAGTTACCTAAAGGCACCGGGGTGGCGGTGCCGCCGGCTTTGGCCCTTCATCGCTGCTCGCAGCTATATTTATATATATATATATATATATATATATATATATATATATATATATATATATATAAAAAGCCGGTGGCACCGCCACCCTGGTGCCTTTAGGGTTATTGTGCACGACGTGACACAAAATATCTGCTCGCTATCTGCCGAACGGCTCTGGTAGTTCCGCTTCAGCACTGATGATGTTGTAGAAATAGTGCGCTCTGGTTGGTCTGGATTATTCGGGATTTTTTATTTTATACAGAAATAAGTTATTTATAATTCAGATGAGAATAAAGTTAGTGTTGATTAAAATGAAGGAAAACAAATATATTGATCTGAAATATAGCACATTAATTTTAAATGTATTTAGGTTCAATTACCAAACATACAATCTTAATTTAATTTAAAGCAAACAATACATTTAAAATATATGGGTTGTATGCACTTTTTTTTATATAAAAAAAAGATATATATCCAAAAAGACAAGGCCTTAAAGGGTTAAACTCTTGTCACTGTAACAGACGCAATCTCTCTCTCTCTCTCTCTCTCTCTCTCTCTCTCTCTCTCTCTCTCTCTCTCTCTCTCTCTCTCTCTCTCTCTCTCTCTCTCTCTCTCTCTCTCTCTCACACACACACACACACACACACACACACACACACACACACACACACACACGTCAAGTCACTTACATTTTAGATGCAATATTGAATAAGCAGAAAAATCGGATTTTCTGCTCTGAAAATATAAATAAGCATAAAAATTGAATAAGCACTTTGAATATTCTAAACAGAATAAGCACTAGTCGCTAATGAATAAGTACTAGTACTTAATGGAATAGATACTAGTATCTAAAAAATAAGTACTAGTAGCATGAAAATAGAGACTAGTAGGTTAAAATGATTAAATGTTAAAACGGCTTGCCATATTGGCTCAGAGAGAGAGAGAGAGAGAGAGAGAGAGAGAGAGAGAGAAAATGACCTTTTAGATACTAGTACCTATTAATAGATACTAGTATTTATTCAATAAATACTAGTACTAAGTCATTAGATACTAGTACATATTAAATAGATACCAGTACTTATTCATTAGCTACTAATACGTATTCAAAAGAATATCTAAAGAATAAGCACTAGTATCTAAAGAATAGGCACTAGTACTAAAGAATAAGCACTAGTCCCAAATGAATAAGTACTAGTACTTAATGGAATAGATACTAGTATCTAAAAAATAAGTACTAGTAGCATGAAAATAGAGACTAGTAGGTTAAAATGATTAAATGTTAAAGCGGCTTGCCATATTGGCTCAGAGAGAGAGAGAAAATGACCATATTCAAACCACAATATCTGACTTTCTGAGGGTCGGAGCTAATTACTTTAAATTAGAAAGTTGTTCGGCTTGAGGAGAAGAATATACACGCTGAGTTTTGTAACTGTAGGTAAAACTAACTAAGTCATAACACACTTTATATGTCCTTTTTTAGTCATGAAAATTAATTTCCTCTCCGTGGCCAAACCGTTCGAGATATCAAAAATCTGTCCACAATTTAGCATCCTTAATGTCTTGACTTCATGCACACCGAGTTTGGCAATGATTGAATGAATTGCCTAGGAGTAGTACTTCAAATTCCACAGCAAGCGTTTTCCAAACAACCCATAATAGCCGATTTCCTGTTGGGCTGGCGTAAAACTTGACCAGGGGAAAGATGTTCGGCCCGATGAGATCTATATGTGTACTAAGTTTCATATTAATTCATGCAAGTGTGTTGGATATATGGACCAAATTGTTGGACCCCGTTCAAGGGGGCGCTGTTGAGCCCCCCTGCCACGCCCGGGTACCAGCTTCAGCCCGGCCCTGATGGCTGTGGGCTCTGACCTGTGTGCAAAGTTTCAATAGTTTTTGAGCACGTTAAGAGCCCCAAAAGCCCCTGAAACCTTGAACTCCATTAAAAGCAATAGACAAATCCCTCACACACAGAGACGAAGAGAGAGGGAGAGAAAATTCTCAGGGTTGTATGCTATTTTTTTATATATAAAAAGATATATATCCAAAAAGACAAGGCCTAAACTTTAACAAGGGTTAAACAATCACTGTAACAGACACAATCACACACACACACACACACACACACACACACGTCAAATCACTTACATTTTAGATGCAATATTGACTTTTTTTCTGTTTCAGCAGCGAAAATAGTTAAACAAAGATCACAGCAGAACCATCGAGGATCTCACAGCAACGCGTTCTCATTACTGAATGATTCAGCATTTTGAACGAATCGGTTGACTCAAAGATTCAACGACCAATCCATAATCTGTCTCATTCATGAATGACTCAGCCGTTCGAACGAATCGTTTGAACGAATGAATCAATGACTCGCTCATTAAGACGGTCGCCTGGCGACACCTAATGACGGTTTAGTGATATGTTTAAAAGTATCATTCTTTCCAACGATTGTTAAACATAAGCTATATATATATATATATATATATATATATATATATATACACACATATGTATACACAAAAATAAAATAAAAACACATTTGAAGCGTGTTTGCTTACTAAATTGTGAGCTGAACGAAAGTTGCAGCAAAGATCAGCAACAGGAGTCAAAATTCATTAATCACGAGAGTGAAGAGCTGACTGAAAAAAATGATGATGGAATATTTTGTGTAAAAGCGCCTATTTAAGCGAATCTGTCATTTACTCATTTGTTGTTGTGTATTACCTGAAAACCGGAAACAATCGGCCCCCGATATGGTGCTAATTTTAAAGTGACACTAAAAAGTATGCGGCTGCACTGGCATTCATAACGGTGCGCGTCCATGGCGACGAGCAAGCAGAACAGAGCGAACGTTTTTTCATTTCCACTTCCATAGAAATTCATTCGAGCGCACTGCGAGCGCCACCACTATGTCCGTGCGGACGTCCTTACTTTACTTTCACTTTTATATTAGCGATTTAAAAGGCCTCGCTGGTGTCTAACGTCGATTAACCGGTGGGAAAAGATCCTCACAGCCACATACCTAATATATTTATATTTAATTACAATAGCCATACCTGATAAAAAAAGTTTTATGTACTGAGTTGATATCATTTTGGACACAAGAGGGCAGTATAGCCCTTTGTATTACTTGATGTATTTATTTTTTAACTGAATAGCACATTCTGGCTGTTTTTAAACTTGTACATTATTCTTAAATTGAAAACAAGAATAAAATGGGGTTAGTTCTGATATTTGTGTAATTTTATCTAGAAATAAATGGTGTATAATTAATTTTTTAGAAGATATGAGGCTTTTAGTGTTTACTTTTTTGACATGACTTTAATCCCTCGCCATAGCAAAACAATTTGAGATATTCAATAGCCATTCACAATTTAGCTTCTTTAATGTATTTTCATCATGTTGAAAAAGTTTGGTGGGAATTGAATAAACCACTTAAGAGGAGTGGGTAAAAAATCAGAGGCTTTTTTAGCCAAAAATCCACATTCAGACAAAAATATCTGACTTTCTGTTGATCCGAGCTAATTACGGTAAATTAGAAAGTTGTCCGGCTCGAAGAGTACAATATACATATCGAGTTTTATTACTGTAGATAAAACTAACCCCCCCCCTTTTGTCAAAAGCATTTAGGAAGTGACACACTTCCTGCTGCCAGTTGGTGGCGCTATAACTTTGACTCACAATAGTCACATCCATGTGATCGGGCTCTTACAACGAACACACTGTTGAAGTTTCATCAAGATCAGTTAATGTATGCAGTAGTTATGACACACTTCCTGTTTCACGTTTCTCGCCATAATTTTGTTTCCTCGCCACGGCCAAACCGTTCGAGATATCAAAAATCCCCTCGCAAACTTTCATCCTCAATGTCTTGACTTCATGCTGACCGAGTTTCGTGCCGTTTGTTTGAATTCTCTAGGAGGAGTATTTCACATTCCATTGCGTGTGTTTTACCAACAACCCTAAATAGCCGACTTCCTGTTGGGCTGGGGTAAAAAGTAAGAGTGTGAAGTATATATGAAACGAGGAGATCTACATGTGTACCGAGTTTCATATTATTACATGCAAGCGTGTTTGATTTATGGACCATGTTTTCGGACCCCGTTCCAGGGGGCGCTGTCGAGCCCCCCTGCCACGCCCG